TAAAATCTCCTGCAATGTCTGAGGCTTCTGCGGTTCTCAGGTGTCGAAGGGTCTCAAAGTCCACCTTCGGCTTTTGTCTGTTGAGCTTGCAGAGAAGAGAGTACTCCATCGTGTCAGTCTCACCTCTTTTCATCCTCATCCGCTTCTCCATGAAACTTTCTGTCTCTAAGGAAATCCTTCTTTTCGCTCTCTTTGATGTCACCACCTGAGCGACTCAGTTTCTCGGCGAATTTCTCGTAATCGTAGCCGTGATGCATCGCAGACTCCAGCCTTCATTACATATGCGCGTTTGGAGCACCTATGGTCCTTGTCTGCGATTTGCTACCTGCAGTGTCATGCTCTCAATCTTTTCCTCGAATGTTATCTGACCCGCACAAATCTGTGGTCACTGCTGGTGCTATGCGATGACACTATTGCCATTTCTCTTATGATACAGTGTTTATCGAATATGACAAAGTCGATCATGTTCTTCGTTGCCGGGTTAGGTGCGATCCATGTCCACCTCCTGTTGGTATTTTTCTTGAATCAGATGTTGATCAAATACAAATGTTCCTTTTCCATCATAGTCACCAGCAGATCTCTTCGCTCATTTCGCTCTCCGGTGCTGTACCTACCGACAATGTTTCACCGGCAATTCCTTGTCTGACCTTGGCAGTGAAGTCTCCCATGAAGAGGGTAAACGTGGACTCCGGGAACAATTCCTATTAGAGTTCTTGATAGAATTCCTTCACTTACCCCTCGTTGGCCATACTAGTAAGATCAACAAGGACCTCTTCTTGCTCAGTTGGAGGTGCAGCACTCCCAATCTTTGTGACTTCATATGGCAGGAGACAATTCTGGAGGACCAACTTTGAGGATTACAAATCCGATTCCTCCGATGTTCATCGCTTCCTCTCCTCTTCCTAGCCAAATCGAACTACCGTCTTTCTAGATGCCATTCATCTTCTTTCGTCATCGACGTGTCTCGCAGAGGCCAAACATGTTGCGGGACATTCATGACCTCTTTTTCATTAGTTGATTTAACGTTTCTCCTCGCAACTCTTCTACAGCTGTAGGTGAAAACGGCGATGGAAATCCGCGTCCGTTTACCAGATGGTGACCTTCCACCTGAAATTCGTAGCAGCCTTTCGTCAATGGAACGGGTCGAGAGACGAGCAGGGAAGTGATGCCCATTTATTTGTATCATAGTGCATAAAGTTTTGCAACCCTTAAGAAGGTAGACGGCGGCCTGGAGATTTCGTACAGAGGGTTCCCCCAATTCCGTTCGGCTTTTTATAGAAATTTTCGCTTAGAGCCTTTGAACAACTGACGTTTAACCGCAAGGCAGCCGTGACATTGGCGTTCTTTCTTATTTAAGGGAGTGGGTCGTTTTCGACTCGAAATGAGACCGTAATTGGGTATTGTGACTCTTTCTCTGAGAACTGAACTTTTCAAACTCGAACTAGCGTGGTCTCACGGCTGCCTGTTCGTGACTGCTCATTTGTCGCAGCTAGCCTTCTTATCTGAAGGTAATTTGCCGAAATAAGGTGACGCGCCAGAAAGGCAGCAACTAGGCACACTCGGTGTACAGTTCAGCGTATAAGTTGTTAAGAAGGATAAATAGGGAGAGTGGCACAAAGAGATGTCTTTCGGCTTTGCATGTCAGAAGCGCAACGTCGAGTACAAGTGCCATATAAAATCTGTTTACTGAATGCAAATTCCTCTGAGTACGGATTTACCCCACTGCACTTCGATGCAAGCAGCCGAAAAACAGGTGTCAATTATAACCTGCCAACATGGCAGGTAAATGACTCAAAGATGGCACTGTGTTCTGATTTGGTCAAGCCGCAGCGTGCAAAACTTACGCACATGCTATCAGAGGTGCACACACGGCGACTGCACAGTGCTTTGACTGACCTGATAACTGAGTGAAAATCAGCAAAAGACGTAACCCGTAAATATAAACAAGTCAGCGCATTAGGTGTTACCTACAAGTCGTTTTCCCGACGCCACCTTTGCCCCCGACGAATATCCACTGCAACGACGTTTGATCAATAATATTACATAGCGTTGGCGGCAAGCCAGCTTCTTCCACCTCATCCATTTCTCTGAAGAGAACAGAATAAAAAAGAACAAACAAATTAGGTGATAAACATCACCTCGAAATACAAAAACAAATGACATTACACCCAACTTTACTGCTCTGAAATGGATGT